TGAAAACTCAAAATTTTCCTACTTATTTCTCTTTCATAATCCAAATAACCAAACTTTCCCACTTATTCACTTCACACAAATCAAAACCACCAAAATTTCCCCATTTTATTTTCAAAAAAATTCAAAGAACCTAATTTCCCTCTTCTTTCTCTTTCCAAAAAGTTGAATACATCAAAATTTTCCTATTCTTTTAAAAGCGTCAAATTACCAAATACATTGCTTTATTTTTTAATATTTAATTGATAGCTTTATTGAATAGTTAAATTAACCAAAATTTTAATTTATATTATATTAACATTGTCCATGGTCTCATTTATTAATTAGCCATTATTAATATTCACATTGTACTGATTTTATATTTCATATTTACTTTTTTATTTTGTTAAAAACTTAGTCTTTAAGTGACCTTCATGTTTCAATTTTTGTAATTTTCTTAAAATTCATATATCAAACGAGTTTCATATTTTTGAATTTTCTATACGAAATGAAGAAATAATTTTACCTAAGTTTAGAATGAAAATTTTTATTTTGAAAAAATATGTATTATATAATATAATAATTATTCAAGCGGATTAGGTGAAGTTAGGGTTGCGGGTTAGTCGGGTTCGGGTCATGTCGGGTTCGGGTTAATCAGGTTGCGGGTTAGTCGGGTTTGGGTTAATCGAGTTGCGGGTCACCCGAGTTGCTAGTCGGGCGGGTTACGGGTTGTTGACTTTTGGTCAATTTGGGTTGCGATCGGGTTATAGGTAGGGTTGATCGGGCGGGTTAGTTGTGTCGTGTTCTGTTTTGACACCTTTAGTTGCAAATAATACCGACATCCACCACAAACGACATTCGAGGTCACCAAAACTGGAGGTTCTATGGTTTCGACTAAGAACCTTCCCTACGAACAATGGCCACTAGCATCGGCCAAAAACCTTGCTTCTATCTTCCAACCTATCACCCATCATGAACTACCTTTAAGGGCTCTTCCTCAGTTTACTCTTGCTATCACATTTCGACTTGGTAGTGAAGGAGTTATAAAACAATGTGGGAGTTTCAATGGCTTGCATGCCAGGAAACCCCACTTAGAGCATACTCTTCGAATCTTTTGTGGCACTCTCTACTTTATTGACCCCGTTTTATTACCTCTTTTCGTTTCTTTTTTTTCGTTTCTTTTTGAGGGGGGTACTAGAGAGTTAAACGCTTGCCACACTACTTTTAACAACTAATACTCTCCTTTAAGAACTCACTCCAACACTACTCTTTTCCCTTTCATTCCTAGCAAGTGACGCACACAATCCTCCTATGTAGAACCTCAATGGAACTCAAAATGTACGTCATGTACGTCGGGTCGAGCCCCATGGCATGGGCGAAGGCATCATAGGTCAGCACTCGCGGCTGACCTCCTAGCATAAACTCCACGTATGGCGAACTCTTCTTGCCGGTCGGGATGACAAGGGCGAAGGTGGAGTAGAACTCCACGCAAAGCTCGTGTAGATGTGCTCGTCCATAGAGAGAGGCAGGCACCACTAGGGGTGACAGACGACCCCTGACATTGTAGCTCGACACCTGAACATGTTAAATATGTCCAGGTCCAGCTGCCAATGTTGGCCAATCGGGTTGTTCCTTTGGTAGGTGAACTTGCCTCCGAACTATGCGTGAATCACCAGATAGCTGATTTACTCGTGCTCCACGTTCAGCATCCTGCAAAATCGACAAACATTCACCATACATGGAAATATCGTCAATCTCAGCTCATTGGGAGGAACAAGAATTCCCCGCACACTTATATTTCCATTACAAATCCATGCTAATAAAAAAAAATTAAGCATAAGCCCACCGAGGCATAGTTCGAGGTGGTCATGGATTATCTCATACAAAAATTCAAACTCGGACCATGCCACGGTGGCTACCAACCACCACTCAAGCAAAACATTTCTCGACATTCAAAAATTAGCACTTGGTGGGCAAGTTTCACAAATTAAAGCAATTCGAATCAAAACATGCCCACCAAGGCTCAATTAAGCTCAAGCAACATCATGTAATCACCCTAATTCACCTAATTCCTCGCCCTAACTCTAAGTTCAACAATCAATTCACTAAAATTCTCCTCACTTCACTACCTAATCCGATTCTCGCAAATTAAATAAGGTAGAGTTGAAAACTAACCTGGAGACTCAAGTAGGATGTAGAAGGAAGTTAGGTGAGGGTGAGGAAGGTGAAAACTGGCCGATAAACAGACCGTAGAAGGTAGCAGGAGCTTCGTCGGAAGGTCGTTGGACTCTCGTTGGAGGCTCGCCGATGGCGACTTCACCGGAAAAAGTTGGCCAAATCTTCCCAAGATCTCGGCGAAGGCCGCTTTTCATGAGGGAAGAATGGGTTTGTGCTTGGTTTTGGATTTGCCTCGCCGAAAGTGGAGAAAATAAGAAAAACTCGTTGGATTTTTGCGGTTTTCCGACAGGTTTTGAAAATTCCGGCGAGATTTTGCGTCGTGGAGTGAAGAAGACCGTTCATGGCCTTTTTATAGGCAGCCCGTCAACAGGGCAATCTGTCCGCGAACTCAAGTCGGTCGACATGCTAGATACACGTGGAAGCACCCTGGTTCACGAACGCGTTTTCCTTTTCATGGTCTTATAAGACCGTGAACAGGGCAATCCATCCGTGAACATCAGTGAAAACATGGCACTTCTGAAAATGTTTACTCGACCTATTCTGATATGATCCAAATTCGAAGAGAACCTTGAACTCGAATAATATGACCAAAGTATGTAGCCTTCCTTCTTTTTTAAGGATTTTTAAGCTTTTATCCAAACTGAACACTCGAAATAAAGGATAGATATGGAACACGATCAAACAAATTCCAACTCGTGTGAAATGCCAATTTGTATATGAAACCAATCAAACAATCACCCACTTGTGAGTAAGGCCAATCGCTATTGGGTAGAAGCTCGCCACAACTAGACGCGTTCTCTAGTTGATAAGTGACACGTAAAACTCCTGGAGATTCTCGACATAAGCTTGCACAAAGAAACTAGTTCGTATGAACTCGAAACTTGAAAGTTGATTGATTTATGAAAATTGGGTACAAAATTCGTAGCTCTTACACCCTCTATTTATAGAGGTTTCAAAAACATCAATCTAACCTAAAAGGAATAGGAAAACAAATCCCAAACTAAGTAGAAAACAAAATACTAACTAAATAAGAATTAAAACTACTAATGAAACTATTAAATAACCAATTAAAACATAAATAAATTAAACTCCAAAAATGCACCATCCCCGCTGGCAGCTTGGCGCGCACACCCTTCTCCTTTTCCGTAGCGGAATTGCTATTCTGTAGCTTCTCTTCCTCTTTCCTTCCGCAAAATTCCTTACTTTTACGGCAAATACACTTGTATAGCCAAAACTTTTGTGTTTGTGACAATAATAGCCAAATTTGGAGAAATACCACTTATAGCCAGATTTTGTAGTGGTTGTAGGACAAATATAGTCATTTTCATTAAATACTTTAACGGTGTTACTACCACCGTCAACTTTTTTGACAGTTTGTTGACTAGGCGCCAACTCAACAGACACATCAGTGCCAAATAAGCTGAAAGTGACACATCAGATATTAAAATAAATAAATTAAAATAAATAAATATTTTTCATTTATGAGCTTGATAAAGCAATTTGTGATATATGACAAAAATAAAAGATTTATGATGATAAAAATAAAAGGGAAAGGCAAGGGAGATCGGGGAAGAAGAGACCAAAGGGAGGAATCTCATAGTCTCCACCCTCGAGTCTCGCCACCGCTATCGAGTTCACACTCACCCACAGCGTAAGGAAGAAGAGAGGAAGAAGATTGAAGATTTACAGATCTGTTCGCTCTCTTGATGCAGGGAAATTCCGTCGGGGAAGACGACCGGAGCACCATCTTCTCTCCTTCACCGGTTTGTTGTTTGCGAAATTGATTGACTTGGGATAGCCGCGAGGAAAGATGCATCAGCGTGGAGGGGTAGTCGCGGAGAGAGACATTGTTGGTGGAGAGAGGGAGAGCCCTCGATGAACATGAGCGCCGGTTGGGAACGAAAGGGGACAAAAGAGAGAGAGAGTATAAAAAAAATTTATTTTTTATTTTTACTGTTAATTCCACCTCATATTTTTATTTACCAAAACATTGACATGTCAGCTTTTTCGTTAGTCCACTCAGCACGTTAACTAACACGGTCAAACAATTGGACGGAAGGGGCTATTTTTTGTATTTCGCCAAAAGTGGATATATTTGGTCAAACCGTCAAAGTTTTGGTTATACAAGTGTATTTTGCCTTACTTTATTCAATTCCACCAATCTTCACGTGCTTGCAAATAAGCATAATATTAAACCCAATTAACCAACTCACCAACCCACCTACTAATTATCCCATGCAATTCCATCATAATTCACGTGGCCATGCTTTGTTCCTTATGCTTAATTAATAAACACATGTCCACTTCAATCCATGCTAATGGTTAACGTGGATGGGCTTGAATAATAGGGCCAAATATCCATTAAGAATGCTCCCAATTGATCTTTAAATCGTCAAATCCGAATCATTATTTTTGCACCACGAGAATTAAATATCGTGCTAGTTGATATTGCATCATTCCTTCTCTCTTGAAGAAGATTCGACCTCGAATCTTTATAGAATCTCATCCCTCATCAGCGCCACTCTTCTTATCCTTCAAATAAAATTGTCTTGATAGCGAGGATAGTATCATTCCCCCCTTCTTAAAGATAATTCGTCCACGAATTGTAGATACACCATCGTGAGGAAAAATCTCTATGTAGCTCAGAACTTTTTGTCGATTCTCTAGTCGGACTTCCTCTCCATAAATTGTGTCTCTGATCACAAAATCAATATGAGCAACTTCGTGAATTATTGGTAAATGCTCCATAATTTCCAAGCATTTATCTCCTCCTTTGAATTCGGATTCCTCATTGTATTGCTCAAAATCCGGCACAGCCAAAACTGGCTCATCAACAAGAATATCTTCTACCTCCTCCTCCTCATCATCGAAATCCTCATACTATTTACAACAAGTATCAAAAAGTATACTTTCCATAGGTGAGATTTCTTCATACTCCTCCTTGTCTTGATCTTGCTCTGGATTTGGATTCCCTATTTTTAAAGGAGCTTCGGGTTGGATTACCATTTCTGGCGCATTAATCCCCAGCAAAGCTTCCAATCGAGCAAGTTTGGTGTCCCATGGTTCTTCCAATCCTGCTTGTCCATGAAGAATAACTTTGATCGTCGTGAGCTCTTGCTTCATTGTCTCCACCAATCTTTGACCTTGCTCCATTCTTGATTTTCGAGAGCTAACAAGAATTCAAAAAAAAAAAACACCAAACACAATATATATATATATATATTTTCCCTCCCTATTTTTTTAACTGCCTAGGCTTTGTGGCCTTAAACTTGTTTCTTTTTTTTCTAACTACATTTTCTTCACGTGAACAGTACACGAAAAAAATAAAACAAAATACAAATAATAATAAGGAAACACAAATCCCCTTTTTCTCACGTTACAACTGTTTTTTTTTTGTTTACCCATTTCTTTTTCTACTTACGTAACCACTTAAATAAAGAAAAAAAAAATCAAAAGAAACACTACTAACGAGAAAAAAATCTCAAGAACGTCTTTTTTCCCACTGCGTTTGAACCAGGCTCTGATACCACTTGATATGATCCGAATTCGAAGAAAACCCTCAAGCTGGAATGATATGACCAAAGTACGCAGTCTTCCTTCTTTTTTAAGGATTTTCGAAGCTTTTCTCCAACTTAAACACTCGAAATAAATGATAGATATGGAACACGATCAAACAGATTCCAACTCGTGTGAAAGGCCAATTGGTATATGAAACCAATCAAACAATCAACCACTCGTGAATAAGGCCATTCGCTATTGGGTATAAGCTCGCCACAACTAGACGCGTTCTCTAGTTGATAAGAGACACGTGAAACTCCTTGAGATTCTCGACAGAAGCTTGCACAAAGAAACTAGTTTGTATGAACTTGAAACTTGAAAGTTGATTGATTTCTGAAAATTGGATATAAAATTCGTAGCTATTACACCCTCTATTTATAGAGGTCTCAAAAACATCAATCTAACCTAAAAGGAATAGGAATACAAATCCCAAACTAAGTAGAAAACATAATACTAACTAAATAAGGATTAAAACTACAGATGAAACTATTAAAACATAATACTAACCAAATAAAACATAAATAAATTAAATTCCAAAAATGCACCATCCCCGCTGCAGCTTGGCGCACACACCCTTCTCCTTTTCTGTAGTGGAATTGCAATTCCGTAGCTTCTCTTCCTCTTTCCTTCCGCAAACAATTCCTCACTTTTCTTCAATTACACCAATCTTTACGTGCTTGCAAATAAACGTAATATTAAACCCAATTAACCAACCCACCAACCCACCTAGTAATTATCCCATGCAATTCCATCATAATTCACCTTGTCATGCTTTGTTCCTTATGTTTAATTAATAGACACATGTCCACTTCAATCCATGTTACTGGTTAACGTGGATGGGCTTGAATAGTAGGGCCAAATATCCATTATGAACTCTCCCAATTGATCCTTAAATCGTCGAATCCGAATCTTCATTTTTGGACCACGTGAATTAAATATCGCGCTAGTTGATATCGCATCATTCCCTCTCTCTTGAAGAAGATTCGACCTCGAATCTTTATAGAATCTAGATCCCTCATCAGCGCCACTCTTCTTCTCCTTCAAACGAAATTGTCTTCATAGCGAGGATTGTATCATATTCCACCATGCCTACTATCAATTTCGACACAACTCAAAACCATGCAATCACAAAAACTTGGCATGGGGATACCACTCGCCCACTTGAACTCTTCGCTCGTCACACAAGAACTAAAACAAGGAAAAGAAAACAAACCTACGTTGGGTTGGCTCCCAACAAGCGCCAAGTTAACGTCACTAGCTTGAGGTTGCGGATCTATCACGCCTTTGAACGTGATTGCCGCCGAGAGTGGATCCGCCACATTCTCTGGGCGAGGCATGTCGCCTCCCAACTTACTCTCCATGGGGTGGCCTTCTTGGCCGATGACTTTTGCTTTGCCCTTTTCCTTACACTAGGCATTAGCACGACTTATCCTTTCCCTCCAAGCTACTTTCCTTCTTTCTTTGGGTGAGATGCCCTCCTTGTTTTCCTGCTTCACATCATCACAAGAACCAACAGTAATAGTGGGGTTCGCCTTGCAAGGCTTCCCTCCATTTGCATTCATATCACTCGGTTCCACTTCCTTCACTTCCTCTCTCCTAGGCTTAGGATCAATTCCAAGAGTAATTCTCTCCTCACCATCTCTCATAATCAAAGTTCCCTCATTTGCATCAATTAATGCCTTGGTGATGGCTAGGAAAGGGCATCCTAGTATGAGTGGAATCTCAAAATCCTAACTTATATCCAGGATCACAAAATCCGTCGGATAATAGAATTTTCCCACTCGTACTAGCACGTCCTCCACTATGCCCCTAGGACTAATGACAGAGCAATCGACGAATGTGACACTAAGCCTGGTAGTCTTTAGTTCACCTATGTCTAGTCTCTTACAAAGCTTATATGGCATCACATTTATGCTCGCCCCTAAGCCCGCCAAGGAATTTCCGTGATGAGAATCGATGCAAAGAGGTATAGTGAAACTACCTGGATTGGGTTGTGACTCGAGCCTAATTGTACATATTTTATCCCTGTTTCTTAGGCATTTGTGGCAATTTTGCTCCTAAAAGGGTGTTTTTATGCGAGGTTTCCTTAGGCATTTGTTTTAGCATGTTTCAGGATTTAACTGGCGCAACCAGCCCCGGAGTCGAAAGTTGGACGAAAAGGAGCGAAAACCGGGAGAAGAGGTCAAAAATTGGCAGTTCTCGGTATTGGACCGATACAGATCACGTAATGAGCCCATGACCCAGGATGAGCTCATGCCCAAGTCCGACTCACCTGCAACCCAGGTTCCCGTTGCTTCGGCTGGGTTTTGCATGGAAGCTACGTCTCCATCTCTGTGTAGGAGTGGTAGTAAGTGTGCAACCCTAGTTCATGGTACAGAATATATATGTAATCATGTACTGCCGCAAGGCACAAGTTGAAGTTGAATAAGATATCAAGCTGGAGAGGCTGATCTCTCCCGTGGACTAGTCCCGACCCAATCGGGGATACCACGTAAACACCGTGTCCATCTCGTTTATGCTTTCGTGTATGTTTGTTCGATTTCTCACACGGTTTCTCTTGGAAGTTCACGGTCTGCTAAGACCGTGAAGAGGAGCTGTTGCCCATGAACATCAAGGCGTCCATGGCCAAATCTTAAGTTACTGACACTAGGTGAGTTCACGGTGTAACACCCTACCAAATACGTTTTTCCTAATCATATTTTTCATACAATTGCAGCGGAATTAATCTCGGGTGTTACATTAATTATCAAAATTTACCTAAATAAAATTTCGACATGAATTACTCGCGTAATGGGCTAACAGTTCTTGCAACTTAACCTGCAAAATAATTCATCACAAACATATATACTCACAACCATATGCATTGGCTTTTCTTAGCCATAGTCACACTTTTCATACTTCCTAACTGCATACCATACTTATACATACCATAATCGTCACAACTTACACAGTTACACAACATATACACATATCATTAACTTTCCACACCTGTGGATATCTCACACTACATCAGAAGCTAGTATGCACATGAAAAACGTTCTCAAAACATTTTTTTACAAAAAGGTGTGGATCACTGGCCAAAATCCCGAGTAGTAGTCCAAGCACAGAATAGTTGAAGACCATACCTCATCCTGGCTTCAACTCTAGCTCCTCTCCCACCTAACACTTATCTACTGCTGCTGCTGATGATCTGCTTACACATAGCATAAGCAGAGAAGAAGAATAAAAGAGGGTCAGCTCATAGCTGAGTGAGATAATCATAGCATCGTGAGTTCATAACAGAGCATACCCCTACCATACATCTAGCAAACGAGCCAAAACACTAGGATCGGACCTCAGCCATCCTCATATCCCAATAAGCAAAAGACTCAACCACTTTGACTTATGCATATGCATCTTATCATGTTTTAATCATAGGCGCCTGGCTACTCCCATGCTAATAACTCTCCCGGGAAACATACCCCACATCCCGTCGGATGTAGTCATACATACCCCAACATCCCGTCGGATGTGGTCATACATACCCCACACCACTATGGGTGTAGTCATACCCCGACACCACTCTGGGTGTGGTCATATCTCGTAAGAATTCTTCAGTCACCACCACATGAGAGGTGTGACTATCATACATATCATAATAGAATAATAGCATAGGGAGCCCTAATTACTATGTAGTTGACCGTGAGACCACAACACTCATATTTGGTATCCTTATACATGATTCATATCTCATCTTGCTTAATCATAATTCATTACTTGCACATGTACTTGACCTGGCCATAATTGGCTCAACATAGGTAAACCAAGAGTCGTATAGTTGCACTTCCTCGGGATAAACCCTCGTGCATGTCATCCTCCTTAAAACATCATGATATCACCAGGGAATATATATTTTCCCACTTGTGCATCCAAATACAACAATCATGAAAAATCATATCCAATCACCTTCTCGAACCATCATAAGACATATTCACAATTAAACCCACATCTGGCAACATATATGGAATTATCAACATAAACAAGGTCCATATCGATTAGGGCAAGTCAATAATATCATACAGAAGCCTATAGTTCATCATATAGCAGAGAAGTCCATACACCCATAATCATGCCATTCTAATTCACCTAGGTCAATTCTAAGCATCAATATAATTATCGTGATACGACAAACCCGGTATGCCGTGCTAATCCCTCACCAGTTCTGGTCGTTCAAACACCGGTTTAACCTTCCCGTACTAAAACGTCAATTTCACGAACGAACCCCGAATCAAAATCAGAGACCGTCCTAATATCCCCTGCAGTATCCCCGTCAATATTAGTTCTGGGCTCCGGGTCAAATTCTCGATAAAAGCACATCAAACCCTGGCCGGAGCTAAATTCAGCGGTTTGGACCCCGGCCTAAATAATAGCCGAAATTCAGGGATTAGAACTAGAGGATTGATTACCTCGCTGCAGGAAGCTCGTATATGAAATTTGGGCTCAATCTGGCTTCCGGATACTCCGAAACCCTAATTTGGCAGATCGGGAATTCAAGAAATTCCTGAACCAAAAACTCGTTTTAAAGCTCTAAATCGATAAAACACGATGTATAGATG